CTACAGCAAAATTTGCGGTGGCTGCAGCCCCTCTCCCAGTGTAGCCAAGCCCAGTCCCCTCTGGGAAGAGCCCCTGGCCCCAGCCCGCAGCCGCAGCCTGCTCTGCCCCGTGCAGATCCGGGGGCACACGCCCCCCCTGCCCTGTGCCCTCTGGGGGTGTTCACAGAAGTGGGAGCCACCTCCCCTATCCCTGCACCCTCCAGACAAGCTGCCCCAGCCTCGCTCCCTCCCTCACCATGGGGGGCATTGATCTACCCCCCACATTCCCCTTTCCTCCCCCCTCCCCTTCCACCAGAACAGACATACCAGCTGGATGCAGCTATATCAGAAATTGGACCTGTATCAGCCATATATGCCTCCTTAAAATTGGCTATTGATATTGGCCCCCAAAATCTCTATTGGTACACCCCTATTACTTACTTGATCTGATACGATTAAATCTTTTGCGAATATAATTCAGATGTCATTGTCTCCATAGGAATTAATGACTCAGTGAGAAATTGCTTGGTTCTACATCTACCTATCAAGTAACTAACTGCCTGGCATAACTTCTCTGCCTCACTACTTATAGGGTTCTATAGATGAGAGAGAAGCTTTTATAAAACTTGAATGCTGCAGTATGGATTTTTTTAACCTCTAAAACATAAACATGTCTAAAAGTCTTTGTTAGAGTATCTTTCTAGACCTTTCCTTCTTAAAAAGATCACTACATTTGCTGTCTCCAAGAAAATTCATGAGGAAGAAATCACCCTTTTCACTTGAAGCCATGCCTGTGTAAATAGGTTGTGTTCTTGTTTGTTAATCTTATGGCATTTTGGAATGTAGTTTAATCATTCACTAGAAACAGCATTACTACTAGTGATTAAATAACTTATTTTTACAGCAGCAGGTTAGTCACTGAATGCTGCGTATGGTGAATAAATAGACAAACTTTGGATGATGGCCTGGTTTCTATCTAATTTAGATGAGCTTTTAGGCATAATGTTTTCAGTACTAATGAGAGCAAGATTTGACCATGTTTGCATGTATAGAAAGTAGAGGGAATCTTTAGTAACTTGTTTCCCATAGATGCAGCTGTGTTGTTTGCTTGTATTCCAGTGATTCTTAAATGGCAGAGACCCCAGTCAAGTATCAGTGTACAGGCAAAGAGACAGCTCTCCCAAGGAGTTTATGCTCTAGGCATAGACATTGTTTAATGGGTCTCTGCTTTCTTTTGTTTGTTCATTCTAGTCATCATTTTAATGTTTTGATTTTTCTTGCTGTAAGGGTACCCTGAGTGTTTGTTGGGAAGAAGGCCTATAAATTGCATACCTAAATAAATAGGTTAAAATAAGAGGCAATAGCATGAAATGATAAGTGAGTTAGGGGGTATAGGAAAACAGTTATTTCTTACCCAGAATCTCTATCCTACTGCTACTTGAAAATTTAATTGCAAATATGTAAATCGTTTTATGTCAAATGATGGTGACTCTTGCTCGTTATTATTTCTCTTCACAGGTCTCTGTCAATAGTGAAGGTGAGTTATTTGTTTTTTTCATGTTTAGATTGTACTGTTTTCCATAAAGCCATAATCTCATGACAAGCAATGTCAGAGCTTCTTACTTGACAACAGGAAGGATCTGCTTGTAAAAGGAAAATTTGTAGCAGGCTATTCTTAAAAGTCCTTTCAATCTTTTTATTATTGTCTCACTACTTTAGTAGTTTGGTTAGGAGCTAAAGAAAGCCCTAAAAATACAAACAACTTTTATAATGACTAAAATCTTATAGGTTAGGTTCAGTGTTCAGAGGAATTACAAGAGGTGGGTGCAAATGAAGGGAAGAATGTTGAACGTCTGGGTGGTGAGTGCAGTTGTGTGTAGTCTTCTGTGTCACTTCAGTGGCATATAAATGCTGCTGAATCCCCTGGGGAGTATGTGAGCTTCACTTCCTGATACGTGAGATCCTAAATACAGTATACTAAAATTACATGCTTGTTTCTGGAATGTGGAAACATTCACGCTTCGCTTTTTTTCTTTTAGAGGAATATGAAGAAGCTTTGAAGGTAATTCTTTTTTGACTTTTCCTAATGCGTTTGTAACTAAATGGATGTAAATGAAATATTCTTGAATAAAAGAAAAGTTAAGTGGTTTCCCTGGTTGCATCTGCACTAAAGTCCTTTGTATTGATTCAGTTTATCAGTGCAGATAAACTGCTTAGTTGTGAATTCAGCAAAACCTACACAACAGCTGTCTTGTGTCCCAGCCATTTGTAACATAACTTTTATATTGACTGTATTGGGTGGCAAAGAGCTCAGCTGACTGCAGTTTGGCATGTCACTTACTATGTTGGTTTTGCAGCCATAACAGTGCAGTATAATGCAATCTCTTTAAGGGAGTTTACATGCTGCTTCTGAAGTGAAATGAATGGGAGGTGATTATCATGCACTTTATATTTAGATTGCAGCTAAACTAGGAAATCAACTTCAGATGAACGTATATGAAGAAAATCTTCCTCCAAAGGAAACATTAAATTCCTGTTCAATGCAAGTGTGTGAAAAAGTGGGGTCAGAAAGAATGGCCATACTAAAGGATGGAAAGAAACCTCTCTCTCACTATTCCCTGCTGGCTCGGGCCATAGGGGAGAGCATGAAGAAGACCACAACACAGGTAAGACTGTTTCCTTCAGTACAACTAAATCAGAATAATTTGACTTAACAATACAAGAAAATCTTCCTCCAAAGGAAACGTTAAATTCCTGTTCAACTCAAGTATGTGAAAAAGCGGGGTCAGAAAGAATGGCCATACTAAAGGATGGAAAGAAACCTCTCTCTCATTATTCCCTGCTGGCTCAGACCATAGGGGAGGACATGAAGACCACAACACAGGTAAGACTGTTTACATCTAAATCAGAATCACTTCACTTTACAATAAAGTATTTCAGTATGGTCATTATCTTTACTTCATGGTAGAGGTTCTGAATCAAAATTTCTGCCTCTGATTGTTCAAATTCATTCAAGTCAGTAAAGCTATTTGGATGTCTCTAAAAGGAAACTTTTTATATCGAGGAAGGAGTCGTAAACATTTGAGGTTGTTAGATGTCCAAAATCTTTGGGCCAGATTCTCTTTTACCAATCAGACATTTAAGTGTGATTCGATTCTACCCTACTTGAGTTCATGGCAAATGGTAAACATAAAGGTGAATGGGTTTTCCTGCTTGCTGTTTTTTGACTTAAAGGCTAAGATGACTCTGTTACTGAAGTAGGTATATTAATGTTTTTTTCAGGGGCTTGAGCAGGATGAAATAAGATGTCACTTGGACATCTGAGTCCACTTAAGTGCCTAATAGGTGGCATAGGATCTAGCATTTTGTTTTCATAATTCTCTTCTGTGCTTCAGCTGCGTGAAATGTTATGCTCTTTTCTTTTAGCTTCAATGTGTAGTTCTACATGAAATACTGGAAGATTCCTGTTTTGTTAGCAAATTCATAGTCTGATTACTTAAGATGCATGTACTAGCTTACTTGTATGTCTCTACTGTTTTTCTGTGAATGGGTAACTGCTTACAATGACAGCATTTTTGAGAGAAGTATCCTGAACACTGCTTCCAGTTTACAAGAAGTGGGGGGATGTACTTGAAAGTGGTATATTTTGCTGCTTAATTTCTAATTCATTAGAGATTGTTATTTTAGTAAATAGCATCTATAATGCTTGCAATTTTTTTTTCTCTACAGCAAAAGCTAAATCAAGGTGAGGCAGGAAGGACCAGTAAAAAGCCTCCAGAGTGGTTTACAAGCTACTTGGAAACGGTAAGCGTCTTCTGACTTTGTCTTTTCAAAAGGTTATGTAAAATATTGTAGGAAGGGAGGATAATTGCAATCACATTTGGCTTTTTATTCATTCCATGCTAGAATCTAGGCTGTATTCTGAACAGCCACTAGAACTTCGTGGTGGCTGTCATCTCATCAAGTATGCACATAATATGGTGCTGCTTTTAGAAAATTCTGTTAGACCAGTTCTAATGGTATAATTCTGAGAACTTCCTGAGACTTGATCCATAGCACAATTAAGAAGTGCAAAGGCACTGAAGGTAACACTTCTAAGAAGTCTGGTATACCGTAGGTGTTTGTTTTGTTTTGAGGAGCTTGTCACCATGCAAACTCACAGGAGAAGAAACTACCGGAGAATTATAAGGATTAATCAGCTACTAGTTTCTGAAGCTGAAGTCATAAAAATGCCTAGAAACACAGAAATTTGTAATTTTTTTCCTAGAAGAATGTATTATAATTTTACAAAAATATATTCTTCTAAAAAGAAAAACTTACATATTCTAGGGGCTAGATAATTTTCTTTCTTTGATTGACTAACAAACCTGTGAAGGCTCTATACACAAAATAAGCTGCCTCCATATATGAAAAGGGGAGGGAAAATCATGACTTGAAGACAAATGGGGACCTTATGCTTGCTGGTCAGGCAGGTCAGTGCAGGTACTAAGTTAATAGGGTAATATTAAACTTGTGTAACTTTCTCAGCCAACTTGCTTGGGAAACTGGAGTATTGCTAATAATAAGAAAAGTAAATTTGTCAAATACAGAGCCGTGTGTTGTGAAGTCCCAAATGAGTATCTGAGAAGTGAGATATTCACTTGAGGCACCTTTACATGTGCTCCAGGAGTAGGGGGAGGGCACTTTAGATTAGCTCCAAGAATGGCTCTAATTTAAAGTGCTCGCAGCATCTCATGTATTTGTCTCCCTGTGCTTCAAAATGGCCATGGAGCCCTTTAACTAAAGCTCAATGAGCTTTAGTTAAAAGTGCCCTCACCACCATTTGAAGTGTGGGGACACTCGCTACACAAGATGCCAAGGCTGCTGCGGTGTGCTAATTAGCAGGAATCTTGTGTGTCTACAAGCACTCTTGGTTTAGTCTGGAAGATACTGGCAGAGAAAAATGAGTTAGTTCTGAACATGTCTGGCTTATGAATTGGGGATGATGGGAATCTGCAGACTGACTCCTAAAGCTGCCCATAAAGAAGTGTTTGTGACCAGCTTCTTATCTTCAGTTCAGGGAACAAATAGTTAAGGAAACTGTTGAGAAACTTGAGCAGAAGCTAAGCGAGAAGCTTGTTCTTCACAACCAGCCCCTGCATTCCTCCAGCAGCTCTCTTGCTACAGCACGTTCAACTCTGGAGATGCATTCAGCTGAAGGCCACCAGTGTGACTGGCTAATCTCCTGCAGCAACTGTCAGACCCGAATTGTAGGGATCCGCTACCAATGCAGGTAAAGTCTGATGGCAGGATATTTAGGAAGAATGGTGTTTCAGTGTTGATGGGATATGGATGAGAGTGAATATTATTTTAGTAGTAAAGATCACCATTCATGGGGCATAATTCTTATCCTAAATGCTCCAGTGCATACCTTGTATAATCAGCAACAGCATCCATTTTTTTTTTATTATTAAATAGAGGTGCGCCAATATATCGGTCGTTTACTGGATCGGCATTGATAAAAGGAAAATTTAACATCAGCTTTTTTCTGTAGCTGATTAATGTCACCAGTAAATGCTGTATGCATGATCGAGACGCTCACGGTGAAGGAGGGAGTGGGGCTGGGACTGGGGCAGGGGCAGGCACTTCCCAGCCAGGGCAGTGGACTGGGACCCCAGGGCCAGGAGCAGGATGGAGCCAGGGGTGGCTCTGGGCTGCTGCATGTACCCCTGGGGGGAGGGGCATATGCCATCCCCAGATTTGTGTGCAGGGTGAGGGCAGGCTGTTTGCTGTGGGCTCAGAGCTAGGGGCTGTGACAGCCTCTTCCTGGTGTGGGGCTGGGAGCAGGGTGGGCTCAGCTGAGCAGGTGGGTGGCGGTGCTGGGAGGGGTGGCTATGGGAGGGGCTACATGGAATTTTGGGGTGGCTATAGCCCCCCAAGTGTGTACTGCCTGCCTGCCCCACAGCACAGGGTTCCCAAGGGAAAGGCAGCAGAGCGGAGTGCCTCCCCCCATAGTTGCCTCGCACAGCTGAGCCCCACCCTACCCCTAGCCACCTCACTGGGAAAGAACCAGGGCAGCCTCTGGCCCCAAGCCCACAGTGGGCAACCCACCCTTGCTCCACGCACAAATCCAGGGGACAACGTGCCCCCTGTGCCTCCCCCGGGGGTGCACACAACAATGGGGAGCTGCTCCCCCTGGATGAGCTGCCTGTGGCTTCATCCCACTCACTGCCCCATTCACTGCCCTAGCTGGGCAGCCCTTGCCCCACTCCCTCCCTCACCGTGGGTGCCTCGATCTACCCCTTTCCACCCTCTCCCCACCCAATTTATTGGCAGGATACTGCTCTCCAAGCTGCCAGGCTCCATTCCTGTAAATCAGCTATCAGATTAGTATCAGCTGATACGGCTGGCTCACAATTTTTGGCCAAGAAAATCTTTATCAGTGCAACCCTATTATTAAATCTTCTTTGCTGTACAGGAATATAAATGAGCAAAACAATTTTGAGAAATAGTAAATTTGCTGAAAAGTGCAGTTTTAGGACCACCATAAATTAGGGGCTGTCATAAATCTGGGTTTACAAGGATCTTGCTAATAGGTGGCAAGTGCTCAATGGTAACATAAATCCTATGTACTGGCAGACTAAGTGCTATTTGAGTTCCTGTAGATTTTGGTCTTAAGACCCTAAACTGCAGCTGTAACAGTTGATCAGGTACTTTTTCATGTGATTCTTTATCGGGGTTAGCACCCCCTGGCACACATGCCAGAATGTAGCAGGTGAAGCCATTTTGTTCAACATGCCACAGCTGGCCCAGCCTCTAGGCAGCGCGCCCCCCCCCCCCCCCCCCCCCCCTGCCACTGGCCACAGAACCGGGGCTGCTTACAGCAGGCAACAGGGAGGCTGCAAGCAGTTGCCCTGGGGTCCATGGAGCCCTAGCTGAGCTTGTTGCTGGCAGCGGGTTCACACACCTTGTGGGGATGGCGTGGAAGGGACTGGGGCTGTACTACCACAAAAAAGATTAGAACCCCTTGCAGCTTTCCTGCCATCCACCCCTGGCGCACCAACATCTTATAGGTTGACATTGAGAGTTTTTTTGGCACTCTGCCCAAAAACATAGACCCCTGTTCTGTATGATCTATTTATCTTTCCTGGCCACTAGGAGCAGCCAGGCTGTGACTCCACTAATTTTATTGCATCTGCCCTTAATAGTTTTGGAAGGCTGGTGACAGCTTTGGTTTTCCTATTTCCTAAAGCAGGGGTGTCCAACCTTTTTGAATATGGGGCTGGATCATAACCTTTTTACCCCCCGGGGGGCTGCCCAGCCATATTCAAAGACCTCACAGGAAGTGTTATCACATCAGGAAGTGATGTCACATGACCTTTGACACCAATGGAGTTGCAGGAAGTGACAATGAAATGGGTCTGGAAATGTGGTTTAAAATCCAAAATAAAAACAATATAAAAGCAACAATGAAATGATACCAAACACTTGACTAAAATAAACACTTAGGTTACAGCAGCAAACTATTTTGGCATTCCTCCCTTGTTGGCCTGGCAGCTTTGCAGGGAAAGGGGCCAGGCCTTGGGTGCTGCTTAGTGCCCTGGCCACATTTTGCCCAAACCCATCTTCCCAGACACTCACTGTTTGGAAAGAAATAGGCTGGAATCGGGCTCAGCAGGCCATACCCAACCCCCTTCTGGCTGCCTTGGCCTGAGTTCCTCAGAGTTTTGCATCCTATTATTATTTTTTAAAGGTGGAGGTGGCAAAGACCTCTTGCCCGTACCACACAAGGCGTCTGAGACAGAAGGGTGCCCGTTCTTCTGTCCTGGTGGCTGTGGACACTGCCTTGGAGGGGGAGGCGAAAGGTCAGGGATGCCCCTGACTTCCCTGCATTGTTCTCTAGCCTCCTCCAGCTGAGCCCTCTCTAGTGCAACCTTGTATTAATTTTTATTTTTTACTTTTTGGGCCCCTGTGCCTGCTTGGCCGTGCCCGTACAGGCTGGCAGAGAGATGGCCTCCACCCATGGTGTTTGGTGGCTCTGGGCCAGGGGTACAGCTGCAAGGCAGCCGAGTTGGTGCAGGGTGACCCACGGCCCTGTGGGTGCAGAGCTGTCTGCTCAGGGGCAGCTGGAGGGTTTTAGTTTTCTCTTCCTGGATACAAGCCTGGCTCAGGTGGTCCTTTACCAGTGGCAGCTGGCAGGCTCTGGGGCTGGGGGCTGTTAGCCGGGGCCCAGCCTCCCGGGCGTTTCAGTGGCACACAGTGCTTTTGGCCTCATGGCTGCAAGGAGCAGCCAGGACTGGGAGCAGCTGGTGGGGCAGGGCAGAAGCGCAGCAGTCCCAGGGCCCCTGGCCCCACCCGCAGCAGCCAGCTCCTGCCCCAGGCTGAGACAAGGCCACCGGAGGAAGCGGCAACAGGTCCTGCCTGGGCTGTGCAGCACTGGGCTCTTCCACCCCTGGCTCTTCTCAGGCAGCAGGCGCTGCAGCCACTGCCCCACATGCCGGCACCGGTCGGCCCTTCTGCAGCCAGGAGCCAGGTAACGCTGTGCCACCCCCTGTGTAGAGCACCTCTGGGCCAGGCTCCTCCTGCCTCCCGCCCAGCCCAGCTCTGGCAACTGTGCGCCCCCAGCTCCGCACGGGAGCTTACCTCGTGCCTTGCGGGCAGGGTGTTGGGCCATGCTGCAGCTCCCCCGGCCGCATGCTGGGGCCAAGGGGCGGAGCCAGAAAAGAAGCTGCATGCGTTCTCTCCAGCTCGTTTAATCAGGCGTGGCTGGGGCAGCCCTGCGCCGCGCAGCCCTCAGGGCAGCGGTGGCAGGTCCTGGCTCACTGATGAGCCCAGCCCCGCAGGGGTAAGCAGCTCCCCTCCCCTTGCTGCCAGCTGGGGCCCCGTGGGCCAGCCCTGCCTGCCTCACCTCGCCGCTGCCCTGCTACCGTTGCCACTGTGGAGTGCGGAGCAGGCGCCTCAGGCCAGATAAAATGGCTTTGCGGGCTACATGGTGGCCCACAGGCCGTATATTGGACAAGCCTGTCCTACAGTGTATCACAGTATGCACAACACTGCACTACAGTGGACTTGTACTATCACAAAACAATCTACAAAGTTAGTGGGTTATGGGTTAGAGAAAAGCCAGGGTTAGAGGGGAGATTTCTAAATAGGAAGTGGCTCTGTCTTTTGAAGTTGAGTTGGAAGGGAGGTTCCAGCCAGTTGGTGTACAAAGTCTTGAGTCCTCTTTGGTTATGCCTTGAGGAAGGCTTCAATATATGATTGTTTGTTTCTTTGGAGAAATGAGGAGGCTATCTGTTTGTGGGATCTCCTTTCCTTCCTATTACTTCTGTCTAGAAGGGTAACCTATTGCCTTTCCTCCTTTGCAGTTTGTGCCCAGCCTACAATATTTGCGAACTGTGTGAAGCAGGGACATACTCTCATGATCCTAATCATGTATTGTTAAAGTTGCGGAAACCTGTACTCTGCACACCTGAGCATTACAGCCTTGGCCAGTTCTCCCCTCGTCTGCCTGCTACTCTGGAGCAAGTTAGGTAAGTCTTTAGCTGCCTCAGTTACTGTGTCTTCTGGTCCACAAAGTAAAAAATGCCTGTGTTCAGGTTTCTTTTTTAGGTTTTTATGATTTGAAATTATGAAAGAGAGCAAGAAACTGATACATATCATCTCCAGAATATGAGGTAGATGAGTGAGCACAGAAACCAGCCATGTATAGGTCTAGAATCTATAGTAGCTGGGTTTTGCATCATCCCTTTACTATCACAAATGTTAATGTCTTCTGCAAGTAAAGTGTACTTTCTATCGGCTACTATAGGTTTCCTTCCCTTTGGAGGGAACACTGCTGTGTTCCATGGAGATTCCCTTTAGCTTCAACCAAAAACAGAATTCTAGTCCAAGTTCTAGTTCAGCTGGTAACTGTATTGTGAAGACCTGGCTTCCTTTCTTTGCAGGCTCCAGAAACAGATGGACAAAAGATTTCTAAAGGCAGAAAAGCAAAGATTAAGAGCAGAGAAAAAACAGCGAAAGGCAGAGGTCCGAGAGCTGAAGAAACAGCTCAAGCTACACAGAAAGATTCACTTGTGGAACTCAGTACATGCACTGGAGACACCCAGTTCACCTGCTGTCAAGCCTGAGAGCCTGAAACCCAATGGTCTCATGTAAGGGTTGCTAGTACCCAGATTTATTTATTTACTTATTTTTATCTAACAGTTAGACGCCATGAGAGATCTGCCTTAGTAAAACCCTTGGAAATTTAATTTTGTTTGTCAAATCTTCCCTGGTTCCAAGTTCTTAATAGTTATATAAAGCATGTGTATCTGGGAATAGCTCTCTCTCCTTTGACACACGTGGTATTTGTTGCATTATATAGCTATGTTTAGTGTGACAAAAAGAGTCCACATATTCGCGCTGTTCGTCATGCCGAAAAATGGCGGATCTGCGTAAAGCTGCAATTTCAAACCGAAAATAATGTCACAGGGAAAACATTTTTCTATGACCAATTTAACTTGTGGGCAGGTCTTTCTCGCTTGCAGCATCCCACAATGATCTGCTCTTTGTCTCCTCTTCCCCACTTTTAGGAAACTGTTGGGCAATCCCGCAGGGACCCTACTACCAATTCCATGCCTTGCAGAGTGCTGGGTCTTGCTTATGCTTTTGGCAGCTGTAGCAGCACAATGGAAATCACCACCACCACTGCCAGGACCCTGAGGAAAAACTGGGGTTCTGGCAAGGGTTGCAGTGATAAAGTGGGCAGCCTGTCATCCATTGCCATGACAGGGCTGCAGTGCTGGCAAGGACTGATTGGGTGGCAGGGACTGCCTAGTGGCCTCTGCTGCTGTAAGTGGCTTGCAAGCAGATTCGGGTTATGGGGCTATAGTGGCAGCAAGGGCCTATTTGGGGCAGTGGAGACTGATGATCAGCTCTTGCCACTGTGGGATGTGGGCAGCTTGTGTGGCAGCAACAGCTGATAAGGATGAGTCTCTCCGTAAGCAGGCTGAAGGCTTCACTGAGGGAAGCCCCCCTCATACACTAAAGCCCCTAAGGAGTAGACCCTGTCACTCCCTGGCTGAGTGTGCCTTTGTAGCAGCTTTGTTATATGCCAGCCATGTGTGTATTGTGTTCTTGTAGCATTACAGAAATAACATGTCAAAGTCTTCTGTGTGTCTATGGTATAAATTGGCATCATCTTTTTTTAACAAATTTTTAAAAGAGGGAATCTTTCTTCCCATTATCTTACTTGGCCCCTATTGGCTTCTGTTTTGGGTTCTTTGTGCACACCTTTTTGCATGGGACCTATTTCATGAGATTAAACTTGACTCTTCATGCAAGAAACCTGTTGTGAAGGTACAGGCTTAAACACACATTTTCTCAGATTTTCATTCCCTTAAACATACAGAAGTGTATTTCTTCCTTTTTATGCATAGTCCAGATCCAATTTTTAAAGCGAGAGCTATAGGGAAGCCCCCCTCACACTTTGCACTGTGCATGCAGGCTTCCTCCCAGCTGCATTGCATATGCAGGCACTCCCACCCCTATTGCACTATGCACTTGGCACTCCCCCTCCCTACACTGCATAAGGTGCCCTCTGCACCAGGTACATGGGTAACCCTCTCCTCACACTGCATATGCTGGTGGTCCCCCACCTCTTCTTCCTGGCTGTGGGCCTCACTGGGCTGTAGGCTTCTCCATTGTTGTGGGATGTGCTGTCCCACCCCTTGACATGTTGGCAAGTAGTAAATGCTTGTGTGGGGGAGAAAACCTGGGAGGAACTGTAGCTGGGTAGGAGCCCAGGGGCTGCAGTTTAGCTCCTTGTAGGCTCTGGCCCAGGTTACTAGTTAAATAGCCCTTGCTCACTATAATTGGTTACTTAAGTGTAGAGGGAGGGGAAGAAACATACCTAATTTTTAAATTCTCTTAGATCAATTAAATGTTATATTTTAATGTCAGATGCTTTTCTTAATCTTTCTTTGTTCACAGAGTGGTAGTGTGCAGTTGTTTGAGCCTCCTACAAGGAGAAAGTATGGCACTTCATTGAAAAGCAATGATGCTTTTAAGCCCAGCTGTTCAGTAGTCCAATACAGGCTGTTGCTCAGTCTCTGATTCAGCATCAGGAGGATAAAGTCCCTTTACTCTCTGTGGAATGAAGACAAGCACCTAACATAATTATCCTATCTAAAAATAGGATAAAGGGAATGCTGTTACTCCTTCAAGTAGTTTCTGACCTTTTTGAGCCAACGTTAAAAATAAGACACTGGTTTTTTTTAAGGAATCCTTTGAAATCTAATGCATGGCCTGAAACTTCTTAAATTGATCTGTAGCTGAGCCCATTGGCAACTTCTGTAGTTTAAAATAGTTTTGGCCTTTGCAAATAGTCTCTAATGGGAAGCTAAGAAATTAAGGTGATACATTTTTAATTGGAGCACTGGTATCTAAGTGCTTTGAAGTTAGGCCAGAGTGCTGTTAAACAGAAGCAGATCAACTGAAATATTGAGAAATCACACACAATTTAGCTTGGTATGTGTTTCTGTGTTGTTAAAACTAGTGGAAGAAACTTGCAGTCAAAGTGTCTTATTTAGAGTGCCTTTTAAGCAAAGAGAAACAAATAGCTTAAATAGTGGGGTTTTAAAATTAACTACAAACTGAGAAGGATTACCAGAAATGCATCTGCCTAGTTAATTCAGTCCAGTAACCTCATGTACTTTTGCTGTGTGCTTAGGACTCCTGTACAGCCCTGCCCAACGGTTGTCCCTACTCTGAGTGCAGCATTTGTTGATGAGAATTTGCCAGATGGGACTCATCTGCAACCTGGGACAAGATTCATCAAGCACTGGCAGATGAAGAACACTGGCAGTGTGGAATGGAGCTTGGACACGAAGGTGCCTCCCTTTTTTGTTATTAGTTTAGTTTATACTGAATATAAACTTAAACTCCAATAGCTTAATTGGGAAAGTCTCGGAAGGGGAATGGTGGTTTTTAGGGGTGCGCCAATAGAGATTTTTGGGGCTGATAATGATAGCCAATTCTTAAAGAGGCATATCGGCCAATACTGATCCAATTTCGGATACACAGCCCAGAGAGTTGCATGCAGCTGGTAAGTCTGTTGTGGTGGAAGGTGTGTGGAGGGGACAGATCAAGGCCCCGGTGAGGAAGGTAGTGGGGCTGAGGCTGGGACAGGTGCTGCCCAGCTGAGGTGGGGAATAGGGCCCAGGACAGAGCTGTAACTTGTCTGGGTGCAGGGGGTGGGGCACAGGACAGAGCTGCAGCTTGAGTGGGGGTGGCTCCCACTGCTGCACACAGCCCCAGAGGGCATGGGGGGGCGGGGCTTTTGCCCCTGGATCTGCATGGGGCAGGGCAGGCTGCCACTGGTTGGGGCCAGGACTGCACTGGTCTCTTCACAGCCTGGTCCATTCCCCTGCCAGGGTCGGGGTGGGTGGTGGTGCTCAGAGGGGGCTATGGGAGGGGCTGCAGGCACCCCAAAATTTGCTGTAGGTGCCTGCCCCCCCCACCCAGTGCCACCACTGCCTGTTCCAGCACAGCTTGGCCCAGCCTTTTGCTGGAAAGAGCCTGGCACCACCCCAGCAGCAGCCTGCCCTGCCCTGTGCAGAGGGGAAGTATCACCTCCTTGGATCTGTTCGTCATGCATCTGCTGATGCACGATAAAGTGCCATTAGCTTTTCTGATTGCTTCGTCACACTGCCGACTCATGTTCATCTTGGAGTCCACTAGGACTCCAAGATCCCTTTCTGCTTCCGTTCCACCAAGCAGGTCATTCCCTAGGCAGTAGGTATGCTGGACATTTTTCCTCCCTAGGTGCAGCACTTTGCATTTCTCCTTGTTGCATTGCATTCTGTTTTCCACCCATGTGTCCAACCTGTCCAGGTCTGCTTGTAGTTGTTCCCTGCCCTCCAGCGTGTCCACTTCTTCCCACAGTTTTGTGTCATCCACAAACTTGGACAGAGTACACTTCACTCCCTCGTCCAAGTCACTGATGAAGACATTGAAGAGTATCGGTCCAAGGACCGAGCCCTGCGGGACCCCACTGCCCA